GAGATGAGTAGCCGGCGTAGCGCCGTGAATGCCTTATCGCAGTGGGAATTCCAGCCAGAGAGGTCCGTGCTACGGGAGAGAAGCTGAGTCAGAGGGGCAATTATAGAGGCAAAATTGCGAATGAAACGCCGAAAATAGGAACACAAGCCTATGAAACTACGAAGCTCCTTTAGGGTAGTAGGCTTGGGGTACTCGGCAACGGCACGCAGTTTGGCAGGATCTGGCGATATTCCTTCTTTTGAAACGACGTGGCCGAGAATTGTGAGTTTGCGGGCGCCAAAGTCAAGTTGCAACCCGGCTGCCGTAAGGCACTGGAGAACTTGTTCCAGACGGGAAAGATGAGTTTCGAAATTCGCCGAGAATACAACTATGTCGTCTAAATAGCAAAGACAGATGTGCCATTTAAGTCCCCTGAGGACACTGTCCATCATTCTTTCAAAAGTCGCAGGCGCATTGCAAAGACCGAAGGGCATTACATTAAATTCATATAAGCCGTCAGGGGTCACAAACGCCGTTTTTGGACGGTCTGGTTCAGCCATTGGTACTTGCCAATATCCAGAGCGCAGATCCAGTGAAGAGAAAAACTCCGCACCTTGAAGGCAATCCAAGGCGTCATCAATGCGTGGCAGGGGATAAACATCCTTGCGTGTGATGTTGTTTAGTCGACGATAATCCACGCAAAACCTGATGGAGCCATCCTTTTTTCGCACGAGGACCACTGGCGAAGCCCAAGGACTGTGTGAGTGCTGAATAACACCACGTTGCAGCATCTCGTCGATGTGTTGAGTGATGACGTCACGCTCGGCCTGCGAGACGCGGTAGGGGCGCTGACGAAGTGGAGTATGATGACCGGTGTCGATATGGTGAGCGACAACTGACGTGCGTCCCAAGGGAGGTTGTCCGTGGTCGAAGGAGGCGCGGAAACGGTCAAGTAGTTGAATGAGCTGATTGCGCTGGTCTTGCGTAAGGCCGGTGTCTACGCTGCGCAACAGAACGTCTTCGTCAGGTAGTGAGGGCGCGGTGCCAGCTGTGACAGCATCCACGGACATCGGTGTCGTATCAGAACGGGCATCGAAAGGAAAGATGTCATCATAAGTGTCAAGACTCCCAATGCATTCGCCATGCAATAAGGTAGCGGGACAAGGGAACGGATTGCACACGTACACGGCACTGGAGCCATCGGCAAGTGTTATGACGGCAAACGGGACGACAAGGTTCCGGCGACGAGCGCATTCTTGTGACGGCATAAATAGGGCAGTTGAATCGGAAACGGAGTTGCACAAAAGAGATACCGCGGTGACCGAAAAAGCAGAAGTGACGACGTCAGCGGCGACGATCACCTTTTTGGGTGAGCGAGGGAGATCTATGAATGTCGTGCTGAATGGAAACAAAACGAGTTGAGCACGAGCGCAGTCGACAACCGCATGATTAGCGGAAAGAAAGTTCCATCCCAGGATGATTTCATGAGACGCATGCGGAAGGACGACAAGTTCAACGATGTAAAGCACTCCTTGAATCACAACACGAGCAGTGCATGTGGCAGAAGGTTGGACGTGTTGCGAACTCGCCGTGCGTAAAGAAATTTCAACCAGTGGAGTCGTCACTTTGTTCAGTTTGCGGCATAACACTTCACTGATTATACAAATAGCGGCACCTGTGTCGACAAGAGCAGTTGTGGCGAAACCGTCCACAAACACGGCAATCTCGTTAGGGGGCAATAGATGAGGCCTTGGAAATTTCGTCGGTGGCGCAGCTCTTGCCTCAGGAACTGCGACTGTTAGTTTTCCTCCTGGGCGTGGTTGGAACGGCGAAGCATGGGGGAAGGAGACCGAAGACGGGGTGAAGGAGATCGACGTCGGCTGAAGTCTGGTCGACGTGAGCGGGCGTCATGTGAATCAGGTGTCACATGCGATTCTGATGGCCGAGGTATGTTGCCGGAATGCTGCACATCATTAAAATAGAATCCACGGCGACGACAGTAGCGCGCGACATGTCCTGGAATACCACAGTTGTAGCAGACGGGCCGGTTATCCGGAGTACGCCAAGAGTTGACAGGTGCTCGAGGTGGTGGGATGGGCCGATTTACCGGATAAACTGAAACTGGTGACCTGTAGTAGTTGGTGGCTGGACTGTATGAAGGGAGCGGCGGTTGGGCAGAAGGTCGGCGGACGGCTTCTGCATAAGTCAGCGGTGCAGCCACTGATATTGGGGATGTGGGCGAAGGGAGAGCCTCGGCAACTTGCGTCTGAATAGCACGGCGAAGTGAGTGGTCCAGTGTTGTGGGGGTCTCGTTGATGGTGGCGACAAGAGAGAGCTGTCGAGCAACTTCCTCCCGGATGTACTGTTGAATTTGAGGCATTAACACGCTGTAGTCGGAGCCACTGCTTTTGCACTCCAAGGCCGAAATATCACCTGTCTGCGTATTAGCGCGACGTGTAGAAACTCGTTGCTTGCGCAGCTCATCGAAACTTTGACATAATTGAATCAAGGCCGTGACGGTCTGTGGGTCTTTGGCCACAACCATATGAAAAGCGTCGACATCAATGCCTTTCATTATGTTCTTTATTCTGTCAGCCTCCGTCATCCTGGCATCAACTCGCCTACAGAGGCTGATCACATCCTCAATGTAGCTCGTGAAGCTCTCACCATTTCGCTGAAATCGTCCCCGCAGTCCCAGTTCAGCGCGAAGCTTACGCATGGCTGGACGACCGAAAAACGAGGTGACGGCCTCTTTGAAAACCGACCAGGTGGGGATGTCGGCTTGGTGGTTGGTGAACCATAGGTTGGCCAAATCCGTCAAGTAGAAGATGACGTGAATCAGCTTCGCAGGGTCATCCCACTTGTTAATCGCGCTGGCATGCTCGTACTCTGCCAGCCAGTCCTCGACATCTTGATCTTCAGTGCCGTTGTATACTGGTGGGTCACGCAGACGAAGTACACCAGAACACATGACGGGTGGCAGCGTGGAAGAGCCTTGTGGGGGATCGACGCGCTCGGTCATCGTGGACTGAGATGGTAGCTTACGACTGCGGAGCTCCAGGACGTTACCCAGCACGTTTCCACCAAATGCAACGAGCAAGGTTGCGTAAAAACACAGGTTATTATTCCAGAAACGTTAGCCGCAACAAGCTGGTACAGGCAGGAACCCGGCAAGCACGAGCCACACACGCACGTCAACGTCTTCTTTCACGCTGGCACAGAGCTGGCGCCACTATGCTTCGGTACAATATGTATATATATATATACACACACACACACACATACAGTAAGTGGCCGACGATGATGGCAAATGGTCTGGTCACTCTAGGTCGGCGACGCCAACGACAGTACCAGCGATCAAAAACAGGGTAGATGGCCGACCGGTCTTCGAAAGATCGGTCGCAGTGTGAAAACGCGGGCCTCGTGTGGCGATGCGGGGTTCTCAGAGTATCGGGGGGACAAAGTACGGAGGGGTGCGTAACAAAAAGCAGTCGGGGCATGAAGGAAGGAAACAACTTTCCTTCCTCCACGGGTTGGGGAGAGCGGCAACTAGAGGGCTGCGGAGGCAGGGTCGGCGTTTTAACAGTAAGAATGTATGGGCATTTCGCCGATGCCTGATCGGTGGTCGAAATTGGTTTCCCGGGAAGTCGGCAGACCGCTGACTTCATTCTCTCTAACCGATCAGCGGCACTCGGAGACGTTCGTTGTAAGTGCGATTTTGTGCCATTGAACCAATGTATATTTTCACGGTCACGCGGAAATTGTATATTTTAAGCGAAAGTTCGTTTCAAGTGGGGCCGTTATATGTGGGCTCGAATGTATATATATACATATATAATGAAATCTAACAGACAATAATGCCAAGAAAATATAGGGGAGGTTATTAGACCGAATTGTAAGGTTAATGTGAAGAAAGAAAAGTGGGTGAAAAGATAACTTGCCATGGGCGGTTCCTGTCCACGGCAAGTAATCTTTTCACCCGCTTTTCTTTCTCCACATTTACATTACAATTGGGTCTAATAAGTTTCACTATACATGCGTTGGCATCATTATCTGTTAGATTTCATTATTATTGTGCCGAGACACGGGAAATCGAGCCCTTAAGTGTACACTTCTTTCCCATATATATATATATATATTTGTGTGTGACGTATAAAGCGATAGTTGGTAGAAGCAGAGAAGGAAGAAGTGCAGAATGGAATAAACATGGCGTATGAGCCAGGCCACGTCTCCCAGTCATCATAGCATCACATATATACATATATATATATAGTGTGTGTGTGTGTACATACATACATACACATATGGGAAAGGATGCGCTAGCCTTCTCTTTCTGCAGAGTGAACATCACCTTAACGGCGGGGAATAGAAAAATTTTGTAATATTGAGGAATTCGCTATATGGAAGTTCGTTATAGGCAGGTTTAACTGTATACTATTCGAATTCGATGCTGAAATTATTTGACCAAATCACTATTCACTTCGAATTCGCTTCTAGTCTGAAATTCACTATTTGCACAAGCCTATGCAAGACCAAACGGGAGTGCAAATGAAGAAATTACTTTTTATTTGTTTATTTATTTATTAGAATATACTGTTAACCTTCATTTGTGGGTCGTTACAGGGAGGGAGTGCATAAAATTATTGATATATAAAGAATGCTCAAGTAGCATCCGACTTGGATATGTCTGCAGCAACGCGAAAAGCAGTGACCTAGGTAATTCTATGTTGAGGACTACTCTAAACGAACATGCATGCATGCGTGCATAAATGGATTTACTGTGACATGTGGTGCAACAGCTCCAGCTTATAGACAAATTCTTGCGGCCAGAAGTTTGTCACAAGTAACTGCTCCAAAGTGAGATTTTGGTTGCTCTAGAAGCTGCACCTAAATGTTTTTGGTCAATCATATCACTGCTGTAAAATCCACGATCGTTTGACGTGTCATCAGGAGCTCATCACTTTGAAGCGCCCCACCTTGGTGTGCGAGTGCCACAAGTGTTGTGTCGGCTTTCCTTGCAGGTGTACGAGGAACACCAGCAGGAGATGACGGAACGGGCCAGGTGCCAGTTCCAGGAACTGCTACTGGAGCACGCCGAGCTCTTCTACGAGTTTGCCAATGTGGGTACCCGGCAGTGTCATCACCCAGGAGGACATTGCCAAAATCACCGAAGCTCTCCAGGAAGACTCCAGGTGAGCGCTTCGGCTGTACAAAATTGCAGCTTTGAAAGAGGCACTCACACTCGAGGTGGCTGCGCGCACTTTAATAGTTTGATGGGACGTGTTGACTTAGTGGTGTGTTGAAAGGACAAGTGTTGCATGGGCAAGGCGAAAAATACTCATGTCTCGGCTGTCTTTAATGGTTTCTGCTGGACTGTAAAACATCTAGTGCAGTATATTTCTATTATTGCGACCTCAGTCCTGACCCAAGTTTCTGACATTTAGGATCTTAAAAGGGTCACAGACCACTTCAAAATTGATGAGAAAACGCATCTTTCGGATAGCAGGACACTGCGGTGAACAGGTCAACAAAATCTTGCAGTCATGTGCAGCAAGGAGAGTTTAGAAGTGCAGTGTGAAGTTGTTATTTTCTTGGGTGCCCTCTTTCCGTACAGTGGTCCGCCCACACACGAAACCAGAGGAGAGACAGTTGTGCAGATGCCCAAGCACCTTTATTCGATCTCTGCACAGTTTTTTTTTTTCTTCTATGCATTAATCACTAGTAGGAAATGTGAAAAATGAGAGCAACTTCACTTTCCTATGTGCAGTTTCACAATGCAGCTGATAGTAACTAAGGATGCGGCTGTCGCTCACATGAAAAGAATTTAACAATCAAAGTTGGGGCTCATACCTCTCTCTTTAGGTATTTGGGCTTAGAACTAAGCATATTTTTTTTTCCTGTTCTTTAATGCCAGAAAAGACGCTTTGACAAAGCAATCGTGTATCAATAAAATGAAGCGAGTGGTTATGAGTAGAGCTGTGCGAATAATGAAATTTTTGGCGCGGAGTGAATTCGAGTATAGAAATGTGAGTGTGAATAGAATCGGATATTATTGAATATTTGTCGAATATCTTTCGAATAGTACTAAGTGAAATTGCAGAGGAAAAAAAGCTGGACAGGATTCTTAGCATATTCTTATATGAGATAGCAGCATGAAAGTGTTTCTTTTTGCTAGGTAGATGAAGCAGCAACCGACAACTAAGACGAAGTTGTCCTTTACCACAGTAATCACTTCAAATGTATTGTTACGAGGAAATGAAAATGTTACCAGGGAATGTTTTATACAGTAAAAATTTTCCAGCATTTCTGCTGTGATGATTTTTTTCTAGGCTCTTTGCGGCACGGGCTACCTATGTCACGCTTTCGCGCCTTGAACTGTAGCACGGCAAAGCATGCTACAGCACAAGGCATGAAAGCGTCGTGTACTGTAGCCTGCTTTGTTATGGATGGGAACGAGCAATCGTTTTATGGACCAGTCAGAGTATTTGAGCTGCTTCAGTAAAATAATTTTCTTTCAACAAAAGTGAATAGCATCACCGCTGCTCCGTCGAAGCTGCTATGAGCCGATGATTGTGACAGATCTTTTTAAATGTTTTAGTTTTGCCGAACTAGCTTTAGTTACTGATAAATCTTATCAGCATTGCTTTTGGTAACTAGAGTGATGGCAGCAGTATACAAAGGAACGTCGAATAAAGCAGTGAACTCAACTACAATGGGAAGCCCAGCTTTTAAGCTTACCCTGCAGCTTCAACCACCAGACCAGGGAGAAGCTGAAAGACTGTTTTTTTTTAGCACTAAGAAGGCCTAAATAGGAGTCGGGCTAGTTATATATATATATATATATCCCAGCTGACGAGTGAAGTAGGTTTGCCCCCCACTCGGGAAACAGTTGGTACGCCACTGCACTTGTTCATGATTTTATTTTGCTACAACTAGCCGATGCAGTTATAGATGGGAACAAACTTTTTATCGACCGGTCAAAACATTTGCTTCTTCAGGAAAATCATTTTCTTTCATCAAAATGATTACCATCACCGCCACTTTGTCGAAGCTGCCGTGAGCACATGATCGTGACTAATCTTTCTATATATTTTAGTGTTGCCATACTGGAAGTGCCAGGAAAGGTTTACGCCTTATTTTTTGATAAATCTGATCAGCCTTGCTTATGTCAACTTGGGGTGATGGAGGCAGCTTACAAAGCGGCGACGAATAAAGCAGTGTACTCGAGCTCAGTGGGAAGCTAAAATAACTAGATAGAAGTGCTCACAATATTTTTGATTCCTCAAGGAGGACTTGACATTTAAAAACTGAATTCTTTTTGAGCTGCTTTTAGTCATTAAAATTTTCATTCAATGATAAAATATTTACTGTTGAGGAAGCCGCCATCAACAAAATTGTATTCTGTGGAATGTTGTGAGGTAATGCATACAAAGCATCGCGTGTAATATTATTACATGCATCCTGCATGTTGTTTAAAAGTGACTGTCCTTTTTTAGGTTATTGAACAACTGCTGCGTGTATCAAAAATCACATGAAAGTGCGAGCGGTTGTCGAAGAAGTCCTCGCTCTCTTATTATATATATATACGGGCTGACAAGTGCCTGTGGTAGGTCAGCCCCCCACTTGTGAAAGTCGGTATGCCTCTGAATGCTAAAGATATTTAGCATCCGATTGTTTAGATTTTCTGCCCAAATTGTTGGTCCAAAACAGGGTGTAGCCCCCACCTCTGTCACATCTATCATCTCCATGTAGGAACCAGCGTTTTCTAGAGTCAATACATTTGGGACATTTGCGTTGTTCTTTGAGAAGTTTGAATAGTTTGAACAATGAAAATTCTAGTGCAAATCGAATTGAATTCCAAACACTATTCAAAACACATTCGAAGTTTCAAATATTCGCACAGCTCCTAGTTATGGGCATATGATGCTATTCGAAGTGTGAATCACTGGTTCTTTGCACTGTTTCTTCTGTGGCACGTGCAGATATAAGACCCTGGACCGTCTGGACCAGGAGCGAATGCTCATGTTGCTGCGGCACTTGGGCTTCGTGCACGGCCCCATGCGGGAGCACTGCCCGGCCAACCCGCACTGCATGGACGCTATCATCGAGCAGCTCCTGCGTGCCCACCAGGGAGGTGGCGGAGGGGGCGCCTGGAGCCCCCTGGGTGGCAACGGCCGCCTCTTGCAGCTGGTCGTGCTGGGCTCCGGGGGGGCTGCCGAGCAGGTGGCGCAGGCCATGCGCGAGGCCCACGGGGCCGCCTTCCGGCTCGACGACAAGGGTGCCCAGTACACCCTCGACTTCCGGATCGTTGATGGCGACGTGGGCCTGCCCCACAACTCCTTTCGCACGGACCTTCCACATGGCTGCCTCTGCGTCTACTCGAACCAGCAAAGCCTCGAGTACATCCGCGAGAGCCTCGAGAAGACCCTTCTGGCCAATCTGGAGCAGGACGACCGGCTGCCCTTCCATGGCCTGCCTTTGGTCATAGTGTATGCAGGTCCCGCAGACCCGTCACTGCGTCAAGAAGGCATCAACCGCGCCAAAAGCCTGCAGTGCCCCTTCGTGGATGTTGGGGGTTTGGATCCCGTCCGGCTAGAGCAGGCCCTGGCTGCCCTCGTTGAGAGCATCCAGCGGCGGGCAGGGCCGCCTGCACATCTACCAGTCGCTGCCCCCGCCTTCTGAGGGGGGCGCTTCACGACCCGACCTGCGACTCCTGCTGTGCATGCTGTGCGGGGATCCTTACGCCCCGGAGCACGTCCTAGCACCTCTCCTGGCGCACCCGGGCTCTGTAGCCACGGGACCCCACTGCCTCAGCCTGGAGACCTTCCTGGGCAGCAGCAAGCGCTCCGTCCAGGTAAGTGCACACGCTACGTTTTGGCAATCAAAAGCATGAAGTGGACGTGAGTGGGTCATGCTACGCATAGTTGGTAGGGAAGTAGGGTTGCGCACTTAAATTATAAGGACTCGGTAGACATGGGTGAGCACGACAAGAGAATTGACCGAGGCCTTTTATATCTTGATAGGAGGTTTATATCTTGACAGGAGGCCTGTGTTCATAGAGTTTCTTAATAATACACTAGAGGGAACTCTGGCGCTAGTGTCTATAGGAGCTTCAACGCACGGCACTTCAGCAAGCATGGGAATGATGGGCAGTACTAGGATTTGACTAATCTTCGTACTTCTGATTCCATTTGTGTTCGCGGGGTTTGGAGCTGTCTTGTCACAAAACAAAAATCAAGCAAATGTTCAGCGGTTGCGCTTCACCGCCTTAATCTTTTAGGCTTTTGATTTTAAATCGTGCCACAAAGTTCAAAAGGGTTCATTCTTTCCTTCAAAACAAAACTGAAACACGGCAATAAACAAAGCCACAAGTGTGATTAGAGGCCCGCAAGTATGGCGACTAGGTATATTTGTGTACTACCCGACATTCCCATGGTCGCTGAAGGTCGCAGCGCCAGAGTCCCCTCTAGTTAATTTTAGGAAACTCTATGCCTGGTGTAAACCAATCTTCTGTTTCTTTATTCGATGGTGATATGAAATTCTTGCATGACCTATTGTAATCTAGAGAGAGCGACAATGCAATGATTGTTCATACTGTGTGGCAGATGGGCGTACTTATTGACTGCGAAGAAAAAGAGAGTTAGTTGTAAGTTCGCCCTCATCCCTGTCTGCCGTGTGCTTGCATTCTAAGTGCGCAACCGTAGTTACGAAGTATGAAAAGAAAGCAAGTTTTATTGAAATAATGGTGCGTGCATTCAGCCGGTTCCTACCATTGTCTCATTCTGATGAAAATGATGCAGAGCTAAAGTTCGGAATGCGAGCCAGAGAAGGCATGCTAAATCCATTGCTTTACTGATACGGTGGGGAGAAAAAGCTGGTGACAAAGTTCATGATAGCATAGTAATGAAGGGACTGATTCATTAAAAAATGATCAAAGCTTGATGTTGCCAATTAAAAATGGTGCACATGACATCCCCACATAGGAGAATGTTTGCTCCAGTGCCGTGGTGAAATCACGTAGCCAGAATACTTGTTGACCACGTGGGCCACAGCCAGTGAACACGACCCCCGTGCAGGTGCGACTGGCGTCGTACCATGAGGCGTCGGCCTACCGCGACCACTTGCTGCACGGCTTTGTGCTGGTCTACTCGGCCCAGCGGCGGGCTTCCCTGGCCACCCTGAGTGCCTTCGCCAAGGGGCTGGCGGGCATGCCCATGCAGATCGTGGCCGTCACGGAGGCAGCAAGCGCGGCCTCAGCCTTCTTCTCGAGCGAACTGGCCCAGCAGCTGATGCGCGATGGGAACGCCCTGGCCGACCAGCTACAGGCCCACTTTGCCACCTCGTCTACAGCTGCCCCCCACAAGGGGGCCTTCTACCAGGCCTTCTTCAAGGAAGCCTGGGAGCGCAAACCTCAAGTGGAGCGGGCCTTTTACCACGACGAAGACGAGGACGAGGACGATGATGAGGAGTCCCCCGAGGGCGGGGCACCGCCCGTGCCCAGCCGCCAAGAGTCGTACCACATTACTGGCAAGGGAGGACAGCACGATGGGTGAATGCTGCTTTTAATAACATCCTTTGTGGTGACACATGTGTGGCTTTGGTTTTTTTATTTGAATAAAGAAATTGTAAAGGCATTTTGGCTGCTAATTAAAAAGTTATCAATGTTAACATATGAATTATGCCTTCAGTAAATCAGAAAATTGTTATCATTTTGCACGTGATGGCATTGGTTCCATGGCTTTAGGAAACGGAATTCATCAATTATAAAAGATGCCAAACTCCTTTAGGCTTCATTTATCAAAATACAAACACACTATTGACCAAAATTTTGGAGTAGGCTGATTATGGCACCATCTTAGGTGAAAAAACTAACTAATAAATGGAATTTTCTTCATTCAGTCTTCATAGTGCAGCAATGCTTCTGCGTACACGCAGAGGGCACAATTTGATTCTACCTGGAATGTTTTGACAGTTGTAACCACACATGCTCTGCTTTCTTCAGGCTGTCGGGTGAAGGCTTGTATGAGCAGCTGCCATCGGAAGGGGGCTCCTCGTCCTCCCCTCCTGGCCGGGGAGGTGCATCCCTAAGCAGCGACAATGAGGCGCCACCAGAGAATGGCACCGACCACCTGGTGCGGCCGTCTCAACTACGCAAGCGCAGGAGCCTACAAGCTGGTACGGGACAGAATCGCACTGCCCTTGTGTTGTACTGTGCAATCCGACTGTTTATTTCAACTGTGCGGAAATTCAAAAAGTCGGAATAATGGACCCTTAAAAAATCAGTTTGGCAACTTAGCTCCTCCGCCATATCTTGTTCACTCGCGCTAGCTGGCAGGCTGTGTGCCCCAGCGACGCCGATGAGCGTTCTCTGCAGTGCACACAGACACCGCTTGCACTCCTGCAGGACGTGTGCCGCGTTTTGATGGTACGCCAATGAGCGTCCCTTGGAGGCTGTGTCCTTGCTCTGCCGGTCATAATAGCCCGTCTGCCGCCCGAAGACGTCACGCAAGGGCCGCAGTGGCGCCGCTCTCAGAAGTGGCCACTGTGCGTCTTCTGGGGCATCCCACGACGGCCAACCACAACCAAAAGGCGCAACGATCATCGCGTACTGGTATCAGCAGCACGCGTCACCGGGGGTGAACAAGACATGGCGGAGAAAGTGTGTTTTCGGTTTGGTTCGATGGGTGGCGCTGAATTTCGAAAAGTGTCTATTGTAGCTTTTCTCGCCATTACCAGTTTCTTGTAGTAGCTGTGTTTTGACTATGCAGATGGAACCGGTGGCATCAGGGCCATTCCAATAGAGTGAAACACCATTAATATGTACCTGCCGAGGACGGCGGCATACCTACGCACTAAATGTACTACGCATTAGCCACCAGCTACGAATTTTCATCTCCTGCGCCATCGCCGCCAACAAAAGAAGAAACTCAGTGCCATGCAAAGTATTGCTTAAATTGCACACCGCAAAGTCATCTCTTTCTTTTTGCCAAAGCACAAAAAAGTTTCTGACTCTCGCACAACCGCCCGATAGCATGCGGTGGCGACGTCAATGAGCGTTTCGAAACTACAGCGGGATCAGGGATACGCAGCGTGGTACAGTGACAGAACGGACACAATCAGCTGTCTATGATACAGTTGTTCCGCGGTCTGCTTCTAAGCGAGAACTGTTGCAGTTTTCTTTTTTGAAGCACGGTACAGTCACAGAGAGCCAAGTCGTTTACTGCATGGCTACCGTATTTACACGATTGTAAGACGACCCTTTTTTTCAAATTTGACAATCCAATGTTGGGGGGTCGTCTTAGAATCGAAATCGAACCATATGTATTGTCATCTCGAATAGTTTCCCGCTCAACCCAAAGCGCATAGTTTTCCGCATGCTTATACAAAAGCTTTTCTTTTTTTAGCATCTACTGCGCGCATTACGAGTGCCTTTATGACGAGCGCACGGCTCTTGAGGGAGCACCGGTAATCGATGGAAGAGCCGCCGTAGGGGGGGTATTGGTAGTTGACGGAAGAGCTCCTCTTTGTGATACAATTTTCTAAGCGGGCGCGTCGCCGCGTGCTCCTGTCGCTTGTGTCCACGACCGGCTCTCTCGAGTCACTTCTGTCTGACATGAGTGCCGTGACATGAGGACGAAAGTTCGGAATCGGTGAATGTGTGGTGCGGAAGTGGCGGCTTCAGCGCGAGGAAATTTTCTCGTGCGACTCCAAGCGCCGTGGCTTTCGCTGGGCCGAAGTCTGGACGCTTCCGGAACTAGAGGCGAAGCTTGCGGCCTACGTGAGGTTTTGAGATGCGATTTTGGGGGGGTCGTCTTACAATCGTGTAAATACGGTAGTTGCGCGCAGCGCTTTTCTCACTCTGCGCACACCGTGACTGCCGATTCCGCTTTACACCCTCACCGTTTTAGGCCATGCACAGATTCGGCGAGTAGCCTGCTGGGATAACATGGCGACGAAGAGCTTTCCGCAAGCAATGTGCTCTCCGTGATGCTCTAGCAGTCCTGACAGTGGACGAAGGCGCATTTGGGCTGTCGCTAAATAAAAGCATGCAGCATGGTGACAACAGCACTACGCTCAATGTACGGTGCGCGTGTTGACATAATACAGCAAGTTTTCTCGTTGCCCGCGACCCGCAACGCTAAACGACAGCGTGCTGCTTGTGTTCCTGTAAAGCAGTGCGTGCTTGAACACGGTCTTGCAGTATGAAGCGGCAGCGATCAGCGACCCAGTGCGTTTAGGTAGTCGCATACTAAAGGCGTGCAGCAGGTCTTAAGTGACAGCTACGCTACTCGTGTGCCCGAGCAGATAACCGGGGATGTTTACTGTGATAAGGCTTTTCGCGGGAGATAAGTTATATCGGTGCATTTGTCGGTGGTCGCCACCTCGCCTTCGTTTTTTCCCCGATGATTGCTCACAATGTCGTCACCGCAAACTCGCGGAAGTCGGAATAACTTATCAGCCGATCTATGCACTTATCAACATGACTGAAAACTGTTCACAGTACATTGTAGCATCTGCAAGTTTAGCGGAGCAGTAAAATTTTTGTGGTGCAAAATGTTATCACGGTACGCAGTTAGTACGCACTAGCTAGTAGGCATAGGCTGAACACTACGGCTTAAGTGGTCTGCGAATACATTAGTCTCTAAGATACTCGATGGGGGATTCGTCGCAACTACGTTTTAACCGTTAGTATTAAAGTGGGTAGGCACTAACGAGGTTTGACTTTACATCACTCCTTGCGCGTTAAGCAACTAACAAGAAAGCGAGACGCATAGTGCGAGATGCAGATCAGGCCTGGCCGTAGAAATGACTGACAAGCATACTCTCAAATGCGAAAAGGTTAGACAGTAGGCTTGTGTGTGCTGCAGCACTCGTGGTTCTTTCCTTTCTTTGTCCGTTTTGTATGCTTGGCCATCTTAAACATCAAACTGAGCTGATTTTGAGCGTGGCTTGGCTTGGCTTGCGGTTTTGTCATGGTAGCCATTCAGTGGACACTAGACTGGCTAAAGCTGAGGGGCGGCCATTACGTGTAGCCTATACACATAGGCTTTAAGTTCGGCATTTGTAATTTCTGCATTGACTTTTACACTGTCACGATTCCCAGCCATAGCCAGTGCAACCTTTTAGTACTGGCAACCTAGCCAAAATATTGTAAAGTGTAAACATCATGGTCAGTGTGTTCGATGCCGCAATCAACCAGCCAGCTGAAGTCCGAAAAATCGAACGGCACACTGTGGAGTGTCCGAATTTCAGGTTGTGAGTTTACATTACTTTAGTGGTACAAATTGCAACACGGTCACCTTTCTTTCACATGCTTCGCATAACGTGGATTCGCAGGTACGTGGGATCTGCCGAATTTTTTTTTTTATCTCGAAAACCTCACTTCAGGGAGCGAATAAGTGTAACCAGTTTTTAATTACTCAGACAAACTACAATAGGTGCTAGAGCTGAGATCGTTTGTTTTGAGCCATGGATGTTTTGAGACCTTTTGTAGACTGGTGCAAGTGATGAGGGACTCTTTGTAGTGACAGAGAAAGGTGTGGCTCGTAGATTAACACTACACGTAGCGTGAAATAGGTGCCTATATTTCAAAGATGAGTTTCGTGGGCCCCCATTTAAGAAACAATGGCTACGAGCATAACTTTAAGGGAACTAAAGCAGGGCACATAGAGTCATTGCGTGCAAACAACCTTGAACGTGTTCTGACACTCTGCAACTCCTATTGAAACACGGATGGCCTTTCATCACTGAAATAGAGAAACAAGCTCCAGCTTTCACTCAGCTGCTCAAAATATTGTGATGCATTGCATAGGAGGGTGAACACAAACTTTGTCAATGAGGCATGCCATGTGGCAAGTCTCAAAAAGTGCGATTTCACTGTACGCAGAGCTGTACCGGCAGCAACCGTACCCGAGTTCAGATTCCCTAGAGAGCCGGGTGCCACCGGCTCCGCCCACCCTGGTCACCTTTGGCGGTGGAGGAGGGGTACCCTCCCCCTTGTCTGCACCCCCTCCACCGTCGCTGGCCGAGGCAGTGCCACGCTGTGCTCCACCTCCGCGGCTCTGCACCACGGGTCGGCGGTCGCAGTCGCGGGATGCGCCCCCTCCACCCAGCTTTCCAACAGCTGGCCTGCGAAAGTCCAGCAGCCTTAAGGTGGGTACCTTAGAAGCATCGTTAGTGTTGATTGGTAAACATGAATGCACAGTGCAAACTTTGTGCCATAGTTTCATAGAAGCAAAAGAATTTGCAGTGTAGATATCACGTGAAACAAATGAAGGTGGTTCTCACCAGGGGTGCAAGGCAGGATTAACAGCGGAGCTTGTGACCGATCAGAATTGCGTGCAAGAATTTGATTGGCGTGGCCTTAATTATCATGTCAATAATTAGCATGGTCTTAACCAGGAATCTACTATTTAATAGGGTCTTAATGATTGAAGCCTAAATTAACACCTTATTGAATCATTTTAATTGATGTGCTGTTACAGGCGAACCCTGCTACAACGAACGCCGCTTCAACGAAATTTCCGCTACAATGAAAAATTCACGGTTCCCCATCAGCAGTCCATAGGAGTCAATGCATCAATATTGTCGCCACAACGAACACTTTTTGTTTTGCCGTCTCGCTTCAAAGAAATTTCACGGTGCAATTCCAGGCTCAGATATTTATTGCTATACAGGCAACTCAATCTTTAAGAAGAGAAGCGGATCTTTGAGACCGGAAATCGCTAAAAAAAACGATTTTTTGAAAATGCTATATTTGGATTCTCTCACTATCACTGCATAATCTCGCCCATTCTCATGCGTCCTAGATTAATAATTTAGCCATGAGAGTAGTTTATGCGGTGTTAGTGAGCTGAATTTTTGGCGATGGACGCGTGAAAAACAGGCCTTTTCAGCGCCGCGGTGTTGCCGTTCTACACTTGCTACAGCAGCCGTCTTGGTCACATTGTAAAAAGCCACCCTTTTTCTTCCATATCCCGCTGCACTTGTTTTCGTCCACTCATTATGCACGCCCTGAATCTACATAAAAAAAAAAAAAAGAAACTCCTTCGCGTTAGCCTATTGGTGCGGTGAGCACACGTGACTAAATCGCGCCTTCCAATTCGCCGGACCTCCCGAGCTGTTTGCTGCGTGCGGCAGCGGAGCGCTTGTGAAGCGGCGAGTGTATCTCGCTCACATGTCATTGTTCTCATCGGCTTCCTGAAACCGCGTGAGCTAGCGAGAAATCGGAGCAAGCATCTCTGTATAGTCTACGTTCGATGATATTGAAACGAAGATGAGCAAGCCTACGGGGCGCGGAAGAAGAAGAAGGGTAGTGGAGCGGCACCTGGACTGTGTGGTTAGGTGGAAGCGTTCTAGGCCTGTCTCAGAAGTACGCTGCTATTTCACAACGCCATTTTACCTCATCTGTAAATAAACACAGTCACTCGTAACAGTTTGGTGGAAGGTGCCGGGTACACCGATCTGGACGACCAAGCTCTACCGATTTTGCGACGGAGCAGACGCTTGGCAGGCTTGCCACCACAGCTACCAGACATGGAGGACGCGGGAGCAGGCCATAACAACCTCGTTGCTGATGAGCAACGCGCTCACCCGCCAAGATCGCTGCGGCATGCTGGAACGTCAGCCGAGGACCTTTTCGAGGCAGCCGGATGACGATGTTGACGACTGGCTCAAGCACTACCAAAGAGTGAGTCGCAGCAACCGCTGGAGCACTGCTAAGCAGCTCGAGAACGTGGTGTTTTTTCTCGTCGGCACTGCGTCTCTTTGGTTCGACAACCATGAGAGTGCATTGACCACATGGGACATTTTCGTGGACGAGCTGAAGAGGTGTTTTGGTGACTCAACAGCTAAGGTCAACCAGGCGAAGCAAACGCTTTCACGCAGAACTCAGTTACCTGGTGAAACATGCACCACCTACATCGAGGCCGTCTTGAAGCTTTGCGGAATCGTGAGTGCGACAATGTGTGACGAAGATAAGGTAGGTCATTTGCTCAAGGGAATCGCAGAAGACGTGTACAATTTCCTTATCACTAAGGAAGACTTACGCACACCTTCCGACCTAAGGAGACACTGCCGAGCGTTTGAAGCGCTAAAGAGGAGGAGAATCCTACCAAAATTCGGACGTCTTGAGAATGTGCCCACGATTGCAAGTGTCAACCTTCCATCGCAGGGCGACATCTCTTCTCTTATAAGCGAGTGGTTAAGGAAGAACTTGTTCAACTGCGAGCTGTGGACACCGCTGATGTCTGCCACCAGTGTGCATTCGACCAACGGCCCCGTGAACCACTGGTACCTCGGATGCGACAGAGCTGCTTTGAGCCTCGCCCGAATTACACCGATCGGTTCGAACGACGGAGTGAACGACCACTCGAAAACCAGGAACGCAGGCAAGCTGCGTCACAGCGATTCACTCCTCGACCACCATCGCCCGGCTTTTATCAACCGACGAGGTTTACCGTAAAAACCCGCGTATAGCCCGGGGTTTTTTTCTAGATTTTAGGGTGCGAAATTTCGGCCCCGTACTATATGCGGGTCCCAAGAATTTTCGGCCCAAATTCAGTTTCGGTTTCGGCATAGCGCGGTGCTATCATCATCATCAGCTGTCTGCGCGCTTCTGCGCTAGGTAGTGTTAGCGGCGTTAGTCTTAACTGGTCAGTTGGTCAGTGGCCTTTGCTTCAACTTGGTGCCCATAATGACGGCCTCGATTTTGCTCCTGTGATTTTACGCCATGTCAGGACCGCGCAGGCAGTACTCTGCTGCTTTTAAAAGAAAAGTTATCGCTGCTGCCGAAACCATCGGCAACTGTGCCGCGGAGCGGCAGTTCGGAGTCAACGAGCGGAGCATTCGCGGTTGGCGGAAGCAGAAGGAAGCCCTCTTTGCATGCAGCGGCCAGCGAAAAGTTTCCGCGGACCAAAAAATGGAGCATTTCCTGACGTGGAACGAGAACTCACAGACTTTGTGCGGGAGCAGCGAGCTGCACATCTCGCTGTCAACATCGAGCTGCTACAAGCGAAGGCAAGGGAGATCGCTCGAGACAAAGGCATTCAGCCGGAGGATTTCAAAGCGAGCAAGCATTGGGTGTCTCGCTTCATGCGCCGCGCTGGGTTCTCCCTACGTCGGCGTACGTCGATCTCCCAGAAGCTACCAGAGAGCTACGAAGAGCACCTCGTGGCTTTTCAAAGGTACATAATTGTGTTGCGAAAGGCAGTCCCCTTTCAGCTGGGCCAGATCGGCAACGCGGATCAGACGCCGGTCTACCTGGATATGCCCTCGGCGCTGACGGTGCATCAAAAAGGCTCCAGGCAAGTTATCGTGCGGTCGACTGGAAACGAAAAAACGCGGGTGACTGTAATGTTATCCTGCACGGCTGACGGTCGCAAGCTGCCACCCTACGTGGTGTTCAAACGAAAGACGCTGCCGAAGGGGGAGAAGTTCCCGAAAAATGTCGTCGTCCGCTGCCAGGACAAGGGGTGGATGGACGAATCGTTAGTCCTTGACTGGATAAAGTCCGTGTGGTGTCGACGGCCCGGAGCACTGCTGGGGCTCCCTTCGATGCTTGTGCTCGACGCGTTTCGGTGTCACCTGGCCGACTCCGTAAAGCGACTGCTGCGCGACTCCCGCACCGAGCTCGTCGTCATCCCGGGAGGGATGACATCACAGCTGCAGCCGCTTGATGTGTGCCTTAATAAGCCATTTAAGGACCATGTCAAGCGCCTGTACGTGGAGTGGATGAGGTCCGGAGAACCAGAAGTGACCCCTGCCGGACGGCTGAAACGGGCCTCGCCAGCGATGCTCTGCTCGTGGATAGTCGAGGCTTGGGCCTGCATTCCAGAGGCGCTCGTTTGCCGCGCCTTCAAAAAGTGCTCCATCTCCAACGCGCTTGATGGCACTGAGGATGATGTGCTGTGGGAGAACATTTCCGACAAGGGAGCTTCGGAAGAGAGTGCGTCCGACGACGAGGATGAATGAAATGTCAATAAATGCATTTTTTCCATTTTCCTCGGACTATATTCGGGTGAAAACTTTTTTTCTCACGTTTGCTATCCCCGAATTACACCCCGGACTATATGCGGGTCCGAGCTATATGCGGGTTTTTACGGTACTTCGCCGGGGACGACTAGACGTGACACCCGTACTTGCTACAACTGCGGGCTACCTGGACACATCGCTAGGTACTGCTACCGTCGCCAGCAGCGAGCTCCACGATTCAACGTGTACACGCCCTATGTACCTGCTGGCGAGTCTCGACCATTTCAGGGCTCTTTCCAACAGCAACACGCAGCACGTGCTGACTCGCCGTGCTCCGACCGCAGCGTTACCCCACCACCCACACGCCAACAGCGATCCCCGTCTCCGCGTCGCCGCTCGGGGACGCCACCACCACTGGGAAACTAACTGGTGCGACCAAAGGGGGCGAGGCCGCAAAATCATCTTCCGCAAGACCCCCTTGTGTTGTGATGGTTGAGAACAAAGTGAGTGTTTTTGTAGACAATGTGAGTACTGTTGCACTAGTTGATACTGGTGCTGCCGTTTCCATAATGAGCATGTCTTTTAAAAATCGCCTTGGGACGAAAGTAATGTTTGCTTGGAATCGGAGTGCTACGTTCCGCGGCGTAGGGGTAGAAACGTTGAGCCCGGTTAGAGTTTGTTCTGTTTTACTTTCTGTAGGAAATCAAACGTTTCGAGCTGAACTAACGGTGCTTGCACGAGCAACCCACGACGTCATTCTAGGTATAGATTTTTTGCGGGAATTTGGTGCAACTCTAGATTGTGGTAGTGGTGGGATTATTTTTCGCCCCGTGTTACCGTCTCCATTGACGAAAGATACCGTTGATGACTGCTTGGAAGTGTTTTCTGTGTGTGAAGACGTCCGCTTGCCCCCACATACCGCAATGTTTGTGCGTGTAAACTCTTCGCGTTCTTGTGCGGGTTCTTACTACGGTTTAGCCGAGCCGAACTTCAGTAACGCACTTAAGAAAAACGTTATTGTGCCTCGTTGCCTCGTGCTTACCGTCGATGGTTGTGCCGATTTGTGGACTGTGAACGTTTCCGCGCAGCCCATATATCTGCCTGCAGGACTTAAATTAGCAAGCTTTCAAGAGCAAAGTACTCTTACCATACGGTCACTCCGACTGTCGGTGGATGTAAAG